TCGCTCTCAATATATATATATATATATATATATATATATATATATATATATGAGGAATCAAATGATATCGATATAACTTTTATCAACTATTGCACTACTTAATAATCTTATATTGAATGTGAATTTTGTCGATACAATTGTTAACTTATAAATTCATATCACCTTATATATTTATGTCAAATTCTATTAAAATTGAATAACGATTTGAAAGTAATCAAATTATTTGTATTTTAGTATTTTTAAAATTTATATATTACATCAATTTTAATCTATATAAATAATGTATCAAATCATCTTGAATTAATATAAAATTTTGTATATATGATATAGAAGTATAAAAATTTCATTTCAACAATAAATTTTAAAAAAAATTACATTTAATATAAAATTATTAAATAATATAATAGTTTTAAAAACTACTCTAATTAATGTCATTTGATGTCATATATATATATATATATATATTCCTTCTTTTTTAAAATAACTCCAAATTTTGTTGCTTTGTGTGAGAAAGAGACCCGACTTTGACGCCACCCACAGTTTGCAAACTTGAAAAACCTTACCCGTGTCGGTGTTTATCCACGAAACTTCACACTATAAATCCCCCTCACACAACTAGTATCTACCATATTGCTCAGTGTCTTACCCTCAAAACATTCATGTTCTTCTCTCTCTAACCATGTTCATCTCTTAAAACATTTCTTTGTATCATTTCACGCCCCTTTCAAAACTTCTCTTCTCTCTTTCTCATATTCCTTTCACTTGTTTTTGACAATGACCAACAACCCCATGATGTCCCTCTCTCATTCCCCCTCCGACTCCGATTCCACCGCGCCCTTCCAACGCCAGCCACCATCACCACCACCACCCGCGAACCCTTCCTCCGCCGCAACCTCATCCGGAAAGAAGCCACGTGGCAGGCCCCCGGGCTCCAAAAACAAGCCCAAGCCCAAGCCCAACAGCGTCCTAGTACCCGAGGCCGCCGGTGTTGACCAGTCCTTCGTCATCATCGACGTGCCCCAGGGCGAGGACATCATGGGGTACATTGTCGATTTGGCTTGTCGCGAAAACCTGAGCGTGACGGTCGTCAACGGGAGCGGCAACATCGCCAGCGTCACCCTCCGCCACGCAACGCATGGCTCAGCCGCTTCCACGCTGCATGGGCCCTTCTCCCTCGTCTCATTCTCTGGCACCTTTCTTTACAACAACCATTACACCCTTCCCGCTGGGGCCACCCCTCCCCCGTGCATAACGTTCGGAATCAGCCTCTGCGACTCCGAGGGCCACGTCTTTGGCGGTGCCGTCGGCGGCAAAGTCGTCACCGGAGATATCGTCAGCCTCACCGCCTCCACCTTCAGGAATCCCAAGATTTACAAGTATGATCTAGAAGAGGATTACAACAGTGACAATGATAACAGTGATAATAATCTGACTGAAAAAGTCGATAAGATGACCTTATAAGATCCGAAGAAAGAAATTAAATAAAGTGAATTAATAAAATGATATTAAAATATATAATCTATAATTTTAATTTCTTAAATTTTAGATAGAGTCATGTCATGTTCGAGTTATAAATAATGTTATCCTTTACTCTTTAGGAGGAGGAAGGAAAATAACTTAGTCTTCATCTTATCTTATAAGTCTTTAATGATAGATTTTAGTATAAGAGTAGTTATAGTTTTTTTTAGCGAGTTTTTTATTCCAATAATATTATTTAAAAAAAATTTATTTAAATAGCAATTGTGCAAATTTATTTCTCCAACTAGCATTATTTACTGTTCACGTTTCAGAACGGACCGTTCTAAAATCAGAACGGGCCGTTCCAGATTAAAAAATAACACATGAAAAATAAATCCGAATGAGTCGTTCCAAAATCAAAATTAGCACATAAAAAGTGGAACTAGAACGGCCCGTTCTGCTTTTAGAATGGGCCGTTCTGACCTACAAATAAATTTTTTTTTTCGATTTTCACTTATCAAATACCAAAACTCAGAAACTAAAATCAAATAATTAAATTTATTGAATATTAACATTATAAATATATCTAAATAAATTTATTAAAATTCCATACAACAATAAATTTAATGGTGGCAGAAACTGATTATGTTGTTCTCTAATGTCCATCTCTATTTTAATCTGCTAGACTTTGGCCGACCCTTGAAAGTTCGCTTGAGTTCTGGATTTGGCCACAAAGTTGGACCAGTGTAAGTAGGCCAATAATCTTCATGTCGAAGCTCTCCAAACTGTCCTTCGTATACCTTTTTGGAACTTGTCGCAATCATACCACATTTCATTTAGCCTTACGGTAAATCTTCCAACGAGTCAAACTTTTCTCGAATGTAATCTTCATGTCGAAGCTCTCCAAACTATCCTTCGTATACCTTTCTAGAACTTGCCGCAATCATACCACATTTTATTTAGCCTTACTGTAGCGGGTCAAACTTTTATCGGATGTAATCTTCATGTCGGAGCTCTCTAAACTGTCCTTCATATACCTTTCTGGAACTTGCCGCAATCATACCACATTTCATTTAGCCTTACTGTAAATCTTCCAGCGGGTCAAACTTTTCCCGGATGTAATCTTCATGTCGGAGCTCTCTAAACTGTCCTTCATATACCTTTCTGGAACTTGTCGCAATCATACCACATTTCATTTAGCCATACTGTAAATCTCCCAGCGAGTTAAACACTTCATTTGGAGAGCTCTGACATGAAGATTATTGGCCTACTTACACTGGTCCAACTTTGTGGCCAAATCCCGAACTCAAGCGAACTTTAAGGGTCGACCAAAGTCCAGTAGGATTAAAATAGAAATGGACATTAGAGAACAATATAATTAGTTTCTGCCACCATTGATCTTTATTGTTGTATTGAATTTTAATAAATTTATTTAAATATATTTATAATGTTAATATTCAATAAATTTAATTATTTGATGTTAGTTTCTGAGTTTTAGTATTTGATAAGTAAAAATAAAAAAAAAATTATTTGTAGGTCAGAACGGCCCGTTCTGAAAGCAGAACGGGCCGTTCTGGTTCCACTTTTTATGTGCTAATTTTGATTTTAGAACGGCCCGTTTTGATTTGTTTTCCATGTGTTATTTTTAAATCCGGAACGACCCGTTTTGATTTCAGAACGACCCGTTCCGAAACGTGAACAGTAAATGATGCTAGTTGGGGAAAATTTTCACAGTTGCTATTTAGATAAAAAAAAATTAAAATAATATTATTTGAGTAAAAAACTCCTTTTTAGCTCCTAAAAGAGCCATCTTTTGGGGTTAAACTTTGCTAATTATTTCCAAGGATGTGTATCTGGCACATAACTGAATGCAACGAATCCTCTCAACGTGCCCTTTATTTCCTTTATTTTGTTTCTTTTATTTTATTTAAACTATGGTTCTTACTTATATGTTGTTAGTTGATTTATTTGCTCGTGTTATGTAGTGTTGGCTTATCTATATATTAAATGAATTTCTTCCATTAATGAACGTCCTTTCCTCTTTCTTTTTTACTTGTAATTAATATAAATTAATTTTCTTTCATGTGTTTCTGGTTTTGAGAGATATTAGTTCGAAGATGAAGATCAAAGTTCTTCTATGGCGGTGGATGAGTGTTTAATTTTCATAATTATTGTTGTGGACTTTGATGGTGGAAATTGTAGTTTCATGATTATTGACGAAGTTTTTAATTTTTTTTTGTCGGGTTTTTGCTAATGTTTGTGTGAATAGTGGAATGTTAAGGAAGAGTGGTTTTATGTAGATATATACTTTAATTGTTTTTCTTTTATGGAATTCTGTCTTACAAGTGTTGTTGTGTTGGTTATTCTGTTTTGGTTATTCTGT